GGACCGAGATTGGGGGTTACATCCGACGGTTGAGTTCGAAAACCACGACCGCGATGCGTCGTGGGGCGAAACACACGAAAATAGTATTGTCCGGTCACGATCGCCACGACCCGACGAGACCGCGCCGCCTTAGCTGGAAAGCACGAAGCTATATCGGCAGACACGTGGCTCATCTCCCGTCAGAACCGGTTCCGCCTCAAAAGGGAGGGATTCCGCCTACAAATACTTGGCCCGACCCCGCGAGTCGCGCGAAATTTGCCTCCCAAAGAATAATTTTGCCTTGACGATTCATTCGCCCTCAAAGGTAAAATTACGAATGAAGCCCATAGATTGACCTCGCTTAAATGGTTAAACCCACGCCTCAGACGGCTAAGGGTTAGAGCAGAAATCTTAGCATTAAGCCTAAGAGAAACTGTTCAGCAACTCATCATACTGAGGAGAATAGTATGGCTAGCCCGATTCAAACGGTAATCGGTAAAGGCACATCAAACCCGTTGATAGCTGAGGGTTTGCTAAAAATTCTAAAAGAAATCAAATGCGCTTGCTTCGCCAAGAATTTCTTCATTCAAAGTATTCCAGACCACACGCAAGCCAGTTTAGGTCTGAAAACTTTGAAGGGGGTCTTGTAGACGGTAAAAAAATACCTCTGAAGAGCCTACAAGAAATTCGCCCACAAGAAGTCGCCTGCCTAAACCGCATAGCCGTCAAATAATCGACTCGCCTGCACGAGTTGAGATCAGTTGGAATGGCGGAAGTTCGCCTTTCACGCAACTCGCCTGCCCGAGTCCAAAGACGAATCCGCCTGCAAACCTCAAGGCCACTAGTACAGTTGGGTATCCGCTACCCCACGTGCTGGGATGAGCCATCCCATCTCTCTCGACCCGAAGGGAGAGAACACGGCACCCCCAGACCGTCAAACGGCCGCTCACAGTACGAAGGCCTAGACAGGTGTCGAGTCAACCTGAGCATTCATAAATGCGACTCACCTCGGCTGTCTGAGCCAAGAGCTGGATCCGCCGGCACTCGGCAAGCTGGCTTAAATCAAATGATTTGTTCTCTAAACAAGGTGAGAACTCAATTAAGCACAACTCTTGGTCACAAACCCACAACCCCAAATTATACTATGTATGTAAATACAATAAGCTCAATAGGTTGTGTGTGAACAAAGAGTATCAATAAAACAATTAAACTCAATATATAAATCTAGCTTATGGAAATTAAGATCAAAACAATAAATAGCTAGAATTGAGTTTAAGGAAAACTTCTCTATAGATCAAGAGTGAGAGAGAGATGAGTTGAATGCCCAAACACCAAAGAATGATCTCCTCTTTGCTCTTGTGAAATTTGCTTCACAAACTAAACTCAAACAAACTCTTAAACTCTTTTAAACAAAACTTAAACCCTTGATTAAAAGCTTTCTTAAACTTGTTTTAAAACTCTCTTGGTTTTTTTGAAAAGACATCAGCAATGGGGTATTTATACCCACTAGAAATCTCAGCAAAAACACCAAAACAAATGACAAAACAGCCCCCAGAAATCTGCTCAGGAAATAGCCGTTAGGAGCCAACGGCTCTTTTGTCGGTCGACCGGAAATCTCGTCGGTCGACCGATGGAAAGCATTCGGTCGACCGATGGCAAATCCGGTCGACCGCGAGCAGGTCTGAAAAACGAAGAAACAAGCAGAGACTTCGTCGGTCGACCGGTGCGGTCGACCCGATAAAAAATCGAGCTTTCGGTCGACCGTACCGGTCGACCGACAAACTCTCTGGAGCCCAGTGATGGCTGAAAATATGAGCGGTCGACCGGATCGGTCGACCGAAATCTGATTCATGAAAATCTGTTTTTAAAAACTATTTTTCTGATTTTAAAACCCTGTTTAAAAATATCAAATAAATTCTAAAAAATGTAAAACTTTGGGGAATGATTGTAGACATGATAATAAACATGCTACAATGACTGGTTTCGAAAAAGAACTTACCAAAAGAAAAATATCATCATTTTACAAAATAGTCCAAAACATGAAAATATGAGATACTTGAATTTTGATGTTTTGACATAAACCAACTTTTGAAACTTTGTGAAATGTTTTTGTAGACTTAGTAAAACATGTATAAACTGATATTCAAGTCTACAAACTAAGAATACAATATTTTCACAAAATTGCATATTCTATGCAATGTTTTCAAAAACACAATAGAAAATATGAAATATATAATTTCATATATATAAGCATGAAAACCCAAAACATATGCATGTATATATATATTCAATTGTTTCATAGTAAAACTTGAAAACTATCAAACCAAAACATATGTGTATATATATAACTATATATATACAAAAACCAAAACGTGTATGTGTGTATATGATTGAGCTTAAAGTACTAACACACATAATATAAAATCTAAACTATATTACCCAAGCTTGAACTTGATCTTCATTAAACTTGACTTGGTAATCTCGTGGATGAAGCTTGAACTTGATTTTTAACTTGAATTGTACGTTGCTTCACCGACATTCCGCCAACCTCCTTTGGATATGATCGTTGAAGCTCTATTCCATCCATCCTGTAACTATGTTGTTTGTCTACAATACATAAGAATGTACAAACACTAGACAAACAACATTAGTAGTAAATTGTTTGTAAATCATCATCAAAACAAGAAGGCCAACAACTTCCTATTGAAGGTAGGGAAACAGTTTAGACTCGTGTACCTATTGGAGTAATATGATCTCTTTTTTGTTGGTAGAAATAAACCCAATGATGGAGAGGAAGAATTTTATATTCTATCTCCTGGTCTCTTGTTTGTTGGTAGAGATAAACCCGAAATCGGAGAGGAAGAATTTTATATTCTATCTCCTGGTCTCTTGTTTGTTGATAGAGATAAACCCGAAATCGGAGAGGAAGAATTTTCTATTCTATCTCCTGGTCTCTTGTTTGTTGGTAGAGATAAACCCGATGATGGAGAGGAAGAATTTTATATTCTATCTCCTGGTCTCTTGTTTGTTGGTAGAGATAAACCCAAAATCGGAGAAAAAGAATTCTATCTCCTGGTCTCTTGTTTGTTGGTAGAGATAAACCCAAAATCGGAGAAAAAAAATTTTATATTCTATCTCCTGGAGTAAAGAAACTCAAAGTGGGATCTCCACTTAGAGAATCTGGACAGGTTTGAATAATCCTAACTGTCATAAGGTTTGATTACTCAATTCAAAAGTGGACCATTCGTTCGCAAAAAATGAATCGAAAGGAGATTTTGGTTGTGGTCCTAACTGTAGTAAGGTTTGACCAAGTGGGAGTTTGAGACGATCCTAACTGTTTAAAGGTTTGATCGTTTAATTTATGGATCTCTCGTTCATAGAACGAATCGAGATGGGATTTTGGCTTTGGTCCTAACTGTTTAAAGGTTTGACTAAGATGGGAATTTGAGACGATCCTAACTGTTTAAAGGTTTGATCGTTCAATTTGTGGACCTCTCGTTCATAGAGCAAATCGAGAGGGGATTTTGGTTTTGGTCCTAACTGTTTAAAGGTTTGACCAAAAGGGAATTTGAGACGATCCTAACTGTTTAAAGGTTTGATCGTTCAATTTGTGGACCTCTCGTTCATGGAACGAATCGAGAGGGGATTTTGGTTTTGGTCCTAACTGTTTAAAGGTTTGACCAAAAGGGAATTTGAGACGATCCTAACTGTTTAAAGGTTTGATCGTTCAATTTGTGAGGGAAGATTGATCCAACGAAGTGATCGAACCTCATCTCAGCAAAAGAGTATTCGAAAATCACCGTGGGGATGTAGTGTTTAACACTTTGTTTGTAATGATCGGGTTGTTCCTAAGAAAATTACATATAGTATTCTTTCGGGAATTTCCGTTACATGAACCATCCCACTGTGGTCGCCAGCTTGTTTGCGTTAAAAGTTGACTTTGTCATGGAATTCATTATATCTTCGGTCGATTACAATAAATTCAAAAAAGAGATAGCCTTTTTATAAGACTCCTTTTACACAACAAAAGGAAAAATTACAACTCTTGAGAAATAAACGCAGGATCGTTGTTTGGATCGCTGCTTGCGTGAGATCTTTGCCTGTGCCGGGAGCGCTTTGACTCGTGGACCACCAAATCACAGATTCTGATTGAATCGTGAGGGGTTTAATGATTCTTCCTTCGTTTATCGAAGTGAGAATTTGAAACGATATCTTATCAAATTAAGACAGTCGTTCTTCTTGAAATCAAGTCAAAGCTCGAATCTCAAGGGATTGCCGGAAGCTCAAGAACTCTGCTCTGTCTGCTCTGAAGTGCTCCAAATGATCAGCCCCCCTCAAAAAACGATCTCAAGGGGTATTTATAGCCTCTAGGATGAACAGTGCTTCCGAGACAGTGTTTACTCTCTCGGAGGCCGAGACAGTAAAGACTGTCTCAGGTTCCGAGACAGTAAAGACTGTCTCGGCCCACGAGACAGTAAATACTGTCTCGGAAACAGTAACTGTCTGGTAGTTTTCGTTGTAACTGCCTTCCCACGTTTTCAAACTCCGTTATTTTGGTAGTTATTCACGTGATTCTCGCCCACGACGTTCCCCATGTTCTTTGACAGTTAATGGCCACGTGTCGGCGGTTTATAAAACAGTTTCTGAGCCTTTGAAAACTGTCTCGCGTGCGAGACAGCAAACGCTGTCTCGCGTGCGAGACAGCAAAGTCTGTCTCGCGTGCGAGACGGTCTATGTCCTTTTTTCTGACTTTTTGGATGAATTCCTTCTTGAGCTGTATTTTGATATCTTTCGGTATTTTTTGACGTCTACAATGTGGTGATTGAAATTCTCTTATTTGGATAGCTCTACGGTGCTCCGTAATTGGGTTTCTGGTTTCAGTTGTTCACTGAGTTATCCGTACACTCTTGATTATGTTTTCTGTTGTAATATGTTGGTTTCTGTTTTATTACAGTAATTATTGCAATTTATATATGTGGAGACATAAATCGGAGATGTCTTATTGACGGCAAACTCAACGAAGATGACTTGTTAAGGAAAATCTTTCACAAAATAAGATGTTTGGGAAAAGATGAACCCAACTATCGATGTGTATTTTCAAAGTTGTTCCATGATGGTCTATTTTTCAATGATCAGATAATTGATGGGGATTCAAAATTCCCACAATAATAACTTTTAGCATGCCACATGTCATATATTACACTTACAGATTTATGTTTTGTTCTATTTTGCAATGATCAGATGATTGATGATGGATGTCATGGACACCAGTGCTGTTCTTAATTTTCTTTGACTTTTCCTTTATTTATCTTGGTTTTCATTTTGCATCTCATCTGACTTCCTAAATTTCCATATGGTGTGGGTATCTTTTGGATTTCTTTGTTGTGAATTTTATACGTTCGCCCTATTCCTGCTTTGTTTCTCAGCTGCAATTTATGGAAGTTGGTGTCTGAAATTTCTCTCGCTTCAGTTTCATCATGGCTGATAACAAAATCATGAGATCCCAGGGCTAGCTACATCCCTGACGACATCATATTCAACAACATCCTCCCACGTCTTCACTGCAAATCTCTCCGCCAGTTGAAATCTGCATGCAAGAAGTGGTACAGTGTGATCGAGCAAGTCCTGTGCCGTAGATCCCTCGCATCAGGGCATATCTTTGTCAGTTGTTCACGTCTAGTATTCTTGAGCGTGCTCCACGATGCGATTCAAATCCGTGATCCAACGGTCTCCTTTGCCTTCGCCTTGAGAAGTGTCTGTATGTATGCGATCCAAAACGAGACAAGACCGCAGAATTCCCCATAGCAGGAATAAAGGGTCGGTTGGTTTGATATTTGAGCCATCAACCTCTCCTGACCAGTATAAGCTAGTCTGTGCTATCAACAAAGCGCGGGGGAGAAGACGGCATCAACAAAGGACATTTCGGTTCGAAGTGTTCTCCTCCTGCAATAAGAAACAGGTAAGATCGGACAAGGAAGTGAGCATCCCTTGCACCGGTTTGCATCAGCCTCCCAAATCCTCATCCGCAAAAGGAATTGTGTTTTGGAATTGGACATGCGAACTATGGCTGGAGACTCCCCAAGAGAAAAGAGATGATCTTTTCAAGGAAGAGGTGTTCTCAGGGATCGATAAAAAATGGTGGGACGACCTCTGCAAGTTTTTTTCTTCTAATAGGAAGCATGTATGGTTAACAAATAATTCAATGTTTGGCATGTGCTTATTTTTGGATCACAATCTAAATCTTACATTTTCGTGCAGGCGGAGGCAAAAAGAAATAAAGATAATCTGGAGTGAAAGAAGCGAGGTCAAGCAACCTATACGGGTGGCTCGAGGAGCATGGTTCGGGCAAAACAGAGAGTGGTAAAATAATTCTGAAAGTGTATTAAAAAATACATTTATTAATTTATGATACGATATCTTATACAAATTTATGTTTTGGTTGATATGTGTATTGTCCATTGGTTGAAGGATATTATATCCTTTTGTTTAATCTATCAATTTCAACTTATGGAGAGATAATTTCGTTTAGACATTAGCAATCCAACTGATAATAAAGCATTTACGGAAAATAATTTCGTAAAACCATGAGAAAATGTTTAAGACAACTTGCATTGTGAGTCCATGGATCTTGCTTGTTTAGTAGCTGGAGAACAGGTAGAAATCTTGCATTGTGAGTCCATGTTTAAGACAACTTGCATTGTGAGTCCATGGATCTTTCTTGTTTGTAATTGTTAGACTTTTCAAGAGAATATTAGTAATTTTTTCTGATTTTTGGTAAATGAAAATTTTATTCACTCGCCATTGGAAAATATAAGTACAACCCCATAGCATCAGCAAAAACCAAGCTAGAACAATGCTATTACATCATAACTTGTCAACCCACACTTTATGTTCTATCGGAATAGTGTGATTATATGAACTCACAGGAACATCCTTTTTAATCTTGCACACAATTTGATTCACTTTATGTCTCTATCTGTATGTATTCTCTAGCTCCTTTCCAACCATAGGAAGTAAACTGTAGCTGATAAAGCCCATATGTAGACTCTGTGCTTATACACTTTGCCCACACATTGAGAAAACAAATCCATGTACAACTCTCCACATAAAAGAAAGCCAATCCATGATTGTGTTCCAAACTTCAGTAGTATATACACATTCAAAGAAGTGGTGGGTGTGTCTCTCATGATTGTGTTCCAAACTTCAGTAGTCACACAACACACCAATTATTTCTGGTTAATCGCCTCCTGCATAAACTATTCAAGGTGAGTAGTCTATGCAACATGGGTAACTAGAGAATCACTGAGGTTAGGGAAGTTTGAGGAATCCACACAGCCTTGTACTATGAAATACTAGAGGAATTATGGACTATATCTGTGTAAGCTACAGAAATATTAAACTTACCACTTATAGTCCATGCTTGAAATTTGGCTAGAACACCATCCACAGAGCCCCCATTATGTAATGCTTCATCACTAGCCTTAAGCACCTATTTCCATAGCTAAGAATCACCTTGTTTCATATTGACAAACCATACAGTACCCCTTTTAAGATATGTTTCATGCACCCACTTAATTCTCTGTTCATTTTGTTGTATCCATGATGAGTAATGCGAATGTGCAAACATGTTTTATAGTGAAGTGTGATTCATTGTTAAAATATTGTGACAAATTTAATTATGACGACCATGTTTGTCGAGAGAGAAATATCAACAGATAAGAGCTTCAAATTCTACACTGTAACTCCAGTGTTTTCTATGCTATTACTTCAAACAAATACCAGATTTCAAGGGTTTGTGAATCCTGCAGAATTTTGATATGTGGGTGTCACTGTTTGTAACTCTTCGGCTACCTCTGTAAGTCGTTGTAGATGTTGCTTGTCCACTGTTTACTTGCCTTCAACTTTTCCTCCTCCCTTGATATCCATTTATTTATGAGATAGAGGAAGCATCGCCTACGGATGCGTCTTTTTCTCATTAAGATGGATCTTAGACTTTAATTGAGAGACATTGTCAATAACCTTCCAAGTTAAAAACTTATTACTCTCATGCAGAGAGTAATTCCGAAGGAAGAGTGTGGATTCTGGAAACCATAAAGTCAATTGGGTAGCTGTCTCTTGACTTGCAATTTGCAAAGGTCCTTGTGATTCATAACTCCACAACTCTTTCAGATAAGTTCAGCGTAGTGGAAGTAGAACTGAGAACTAGTTAAGTGTGCCTCATTAAATTCCGACGCATTGTCATTCATTGGCCTCCATTTCTATAATGTGTCTGATCTATTGTCATCCATTGGCCTCGACTCGTCGAAACCCTTCGAAACCTCGGGTGATTTTTTGTACTAAGTGTTGTCTGTAATGATAGTATTCGTATCCTTCGAATTTTGCGCTTGTTTAATGATTTGGATGATAGACAATATTTTGAGTAATGCTGCAATTGACTCTCTACCTAATTAAGAATCCATATGCCTTATCGAGCGACGTGTTTCGTTGGCAAGTTGAATACAACATTACTCTCTGTGGCGTTGATGTATCCATTTCAACAACTTTTGTTGGTATAAGTAATAAATAGCTCGTTTATTTTGTGTCTTCGCTCTGTCTTTGTGACAGTTGGGAGTATTCTCAGCGTCTCTATGCAGTAATAAATAGCTCGTATATTTTGCGTCTTCGCTCTGTCTTTGTGACAGTTGAGCTTGGTCTTAAAGAAAGTTGTCTTAAACAAAGACTTAAGGCTAGCAAATAGAGAACTCGTATAGAGTGTGATTTGTATTGCAGATTAGCTCTTGTTATATGATGACTGTGGACGAAATTACTTCCTTTGTTTGTATGTGTTATTGATGCATCTAGTGCTCGTAAAACCATGGGAAGTTGTTGATTTAAAAATTGTTTCATGAGACAATTTTATTCATTGTGTTCTATATAAATTTAGTATGTTGTTACCAGATAAGTTTGCTCTATCTAGGTTTTTTTCTTGCAGATGACTTGCATTCAATTGATTCCCCTGCTTTAGATTTTTCTCTCAAGCTGAATATTTGCTTCACTTTATCAATCAACTCTTTAACACATGCAATCAGGGCCGGTTCTGAGATTTTAGGGGCCCTGTGCGAAAAGTAAACACATGGCTCTTCTCTATATATACAAAATATCAATAAATTTGAGTGCCCGTCATCGGCAAATGTCATCACCTTCCTGCAAGCAATCAACTTCTCTAATAACCACCTTCTTGCTCATCCTCTTTAAATGGTTTCAACTATTTTTGTTTCTTAGAACCTCACGCACATCCAATGACCAAGAAGCCACATTTCCTATGTCCCAAAAAAATAGTAGCATCCCTCTGGTTCTCTACCAAAATAAAGCCTCACCCTCTGCCGAATAAGAATTCAGGAACACTTCAATACTCTTTTAAGAACTCCGGAAATCAGATCATACTCAAGTTATGATTTCATATAAAACACCAAATTTACATCCAGGAGTATCCAAAAGAAAAACCCACGTCCTAAATTACTATTTTGGATGAAATAAATCGACAGAAATTATCATAATGAACAAAATGAATTTTAAAGAACAGCCAAAGCATGAAATTTCTCACCCTATAATAAAAAACAACAGATGAATCATACCGGAACATAGCGAAACTTCCTCTTCGACGGGTCCTCGGGTGTGGCAGAACTCCATCGTTTTTTGATGGAGAAATCGGGGTCCATTTGTAGAGCTGCCGTAGACCTGAATCGAGAGATCTTACCGTCGTAGCGCTCGTCTTGCTCCGCGAGCTTGGCGATGTAGACGAACCCCTCTCTCGACGCCATTGGAGATCAGATCTGAGCGGATCTGGCGGTGTCGTGGCAGAGAGAGAGGTCGATACCGTTTTGGGAGGCTTCGTTTTGGGGAGGATGAAGGGTCTTGGAGTTTGGGGGGGGGAGATCTAGTTTGGGGAGGAAGAAGGTTTTTGAGAAAAGGGGGAGAGAGATTTGGTTTGGGGAGCTGGTTTTGGGGGGGGAGGAGAAGGGTCACGGAGCTGGAAGCAACCTATTTTACCAAAAAAAAATTTGGGCCCCCAATTTTCGGGGGCCCTGTGCGGTCGCACCCTTCGCACACCCTCAGAGCCGGCCCTGCATGCAATTTGATCAAGGATATATTACAATGTAAAATTGTGACTATTTGGCAAGCATACATTTATTAAATTACATATTTGTGTGAGATTCATCTGAACATGCCCTCTAAATATCATTAGTTATACTTTACAGGTTGATCATCATACCGCTCATCCACCTTCTGTTATTCCAGCTACTCAATCGGCTTTTGCTCAGCCTTCTCTGGATGCTCAGGGTTCTACTTTTGCTGCTCAGCATTCTCCTCAGGATATTTCAGCACAAAATTTTCTTGCAAGTCGACCGGGGGGCTGGTTAAGGGGCTTAACATAGGAGGGCTATGGCGAAGAGGACATCCGCAAGGCTTTTATCAATTTTCTTCGATTGAGGCAGCAGTGACTTGCACTTTTTAGATATTTGAGATATTGTATTTTGGATACTCCTTATGTTTGTGATTTAGTTGTTTATAAATTACAACTCGCATTTCATTTTAGCAAATTTTTGTTTTGGCTTATAATTGTGTATGGTGTTAGGATCTTGAATTCATTTTATGACGTATTTTTGTTTTTGGTTGTATAATTTCGTGGAAATATTGCTGTGAACAGGCTGATAAGGTGCACCATAAAGAGGAGGAACTCGACGGCGATGGCGGGAAGAGTGAGGTTGAATTCGAAGAGGTTGAATTCGAAGCCTCGAATAGCCAAAACAATAGCACACACAAGAACAAAATAGACCACAATAGACACAAGCCAACCAATCACAGCAAGAACACAAGATATACGTGGTTCGGCAATGTGCCTACGTCCACGGGGCAAGGAGGGGGGAGTTTCACTAATCAAATCAAAGGGGAATACAAATTAGGGTTACAAATCTTACCCAAAACCCTCAGACAAGATCACTTGATCTCTCCAATAGACTCCAACAAAAGAAGCCCTAGAAAATCCCCTTTGGCAGCTCAAAATCTCCCTTGCATAAAACCCTAGAACAGATTTGGGGTTTATATACAAGTTACAAAGAAAACGGGTCTGGAAAACCAACTTAAACCCAAAACCCGATAGTCGGTCGACCGCAGCACCACTGTCGGTCGACCGCAAAATATCCCGAGGTCCAGTCTGCTCTCTGGACAATTCGCGGTCGACCGCAGCGCTTCGTCCGGTCGACCGCCCAAATTCCAGAGGCACACTAAGAGTTGTGTGCACATATCGGTCGACCGCAGCTCCACTGCCGGTCGACCGCCCAACTTCCAGAGGCAAATCTCTGACTTTTCACCAACTCTACAAACTTGTGCACCTCGTTTCACAAGATATACTTATCGATCCTCATGTGCAAAGTGCACATGATTGTGCGCAAGCTCAGGTTCCTACAAAAAGAAGTAACTAATCCAATAGAAAGAAGAAGGGATTATCAAAGAGGGGTCCTAAGATAAACAACATAATTATGACAAAGGAAGCTCAGGTTAGTATTTTTTTAATTATCAATAATGATCTACGTCAATTCATTGAACCTAAATACATGTAACTATTATGTAGGCAATTCAGCAAATTGCTGCTTCACAAGCTAACCAAACTGCCACCTCACGAGATTTGCATAAACAAACTACAAAATTTATAAAGGGGCCAAGTGTGACTGTTGAAGGAGTGTACAGAAGAAAAGGAGGCTTGTTGGCAGAAGCTACCATCAGAATGCAAGGGCGGATGCAGGGAGGAAGATTTATACCATCTAGGTATACAGATATAATTTTAATGAGAACAAAGGTAAGGTTACTTCACTCAATTCATGTATTTTCATTACACTTGAGTACTTGACCTATGCTAATTCAACACTTTATTTAATTTAAATTTGTAGTCCATTCAAGACCACCAAAGTACTATACCAACCAGAAAGTGAATGCTAACATCAACTATTCTCATATTGCATCAAATGCTCCCTCAACAGTTATACAAGATGCTCCCTCATATGCTCCATCAAGTGTTACACAAGCTGCTACCGCGCATACTCCATCAAGTGATCCCTCAACTAAGTAATTTGATGCTCCCCCACAACCACAAGGACACTCTGCTTATCAACATGCATATCAAGCTATAAAAGGAGTTTCCTTCACAACACAGAACCAAAATCCCCTCTAGGAAGCTCGCGAGTTCCACTCAACCACTGCCTACCGCATCACATTTGATAGCACTGATCACTGCTATAATAAAGGTAAGGATTTGAAATATAAATGCTAACCAGACCAAATATTACTTGCATGTTGCCATAATTTAACACATCGTGTATGTTTGTGCATTTTTTGTACTCGTGTCCTGGCTATTGATGATCAACTAGCAAAACAAAAGGATGATGGCAAAGATTAGCATAAGGAAACATGTTTTCTTTTTATGTGTGTGAAAAATGTTTTTGTGTCACTATATGGATTTTTGTCTTGGTATATGTATCTATGAAACAATGTTAATATCATGGTATATGTATGTATTTGTGTTAAGTAGAAGCTTTATGGACAGTGAGTATGTTTATGAAGAAATATGCCATGTTCTGTGCCATTTGTTTTCGAGAAAGCAATCAAAATCTTTTGATCATATATATTACAGGTTTGAATATCAGAAAAAACAAGCAGGATTCTGGCAATTTTTTTAAAATAGGGAGAGTCAAATCTCTTGTACCACTGTCGCGGTGATTGCTTCAGTCCATAAAGAGATTTTCTCAATTTGCACACCAAATTTTCCCTTCCTGCAGCTTTAAACCCCATAGGTTGTGTCATGTAGATCTCCTCGTCTAAGTCTCCATGTAGAAAGGCCGTCTTCACGTCCATTTGGACCAAATCTAGGTCCAGCTGTGCCACCAATGCCAATAGTATCCGAATCGACGAATGCTTCACAACGGGTGAAAACACCTCGTTGTAATCAACACCTTCAAGCTGTGCATATCCCTTGGCAACCAATCTGGCCTTGAATCGAATGTCCCCAATAGAAGATCCCTCTTTCTTAGCATACACCCACTTGCAACCAATAGCTTTCTTACCCTTAGGTAGCTGTGCAAGTTCCCAAGTGTCGTTCTTCTGAAGAGATTGCATCTCCTCCTCCATAGCATTCCTCCACCTAATGGAATCAGGGCTGGACTCTGCCTCCCTGAATGTGGCAGGAATCAAATCATCAACGACCTCCACCGATAAAGCATATGCCACCATGACATCATCATATCTCGCTAGCCGACGAATCTCTCTCCTCGGTCTATCTGCTGCAATGGACCCCTGAGCATGACCCTGCTCATGAGCCTCGCCATCCACTGTATCCCCCAAATGCCCGACTGTCATCTCATCTCCTCCCTGTGTCACCTCTGTAGGAGTCTCAATGGGAACAGTGCCAACTGGAGTGGGTGGAGTCACATCATCCTCTACCTGCTGCGATATCCCACCTGTCTGATCTTCCTCCCCCTGCTGAGGAACTCGAGGCTTCATCATGTACGCCTCATCGAATGTGACATCTCTGATAATGATCATCTTCTTGTCTTGTGGATCCCATAATTTGAAACCTTTTACACATTCTCTAAATCCCAGAAAGATAGCCTTCCTTGCTCTCGGATTCAACTTCCCATCACTAACATGGAAATAAGCTGGACACCCAAAAATCCGAAGAGTCTCATAATCACTAGCCACAGAACCAGACCAACGCTCCAAAGGAGTCTTCCCCTATATCGCAGTGCACGGCAACCTGTTAATGAGATGGCTCGCATAAACTAACGCCTCGGCCCAAAAAGATCTAGCCAATCCACTCTGCGTCATCATACATCGCACCTTCTCCAGCAAGGTACGGTTCAGCCTCTCTGCCACCCCATTTTGTTGCGGTGTCTCTCTAACTGTGAAATGCCTTCTAATGCTGTGATCCCGGCAAAACTGCAGAAATGGATCACTCTTGTACTCTCCACCATTGTCTGAACGAAGAGTCTTCACCTTTCTACCTGTCTGCAGCTCCACTTTCTTCTTCCACTCCACAAATATATCCAGGACCTCATGTTTATGCTTCATGGTATATACCCAATTCCTCCTGGAATAATCATCAATGAAAGTGACGAAATAATTTGCCCCACCAAGCGATGTGTGCTTAGAAGGGCCCCAAACATCTGTGTGAATGTAGTCTAATATACCTTGGGTGTTGTGAATTGCGGTGCCAAACTTTACTTTTGTCTTCTTCCCAAGTATGCAATGCTCACACAGCTCCATCTTGCAGGTCTTTGCACCTTTCAATAGCCCCTGTTTTGCCAATGACTGAAGGGACTTTTCACCTGTGTGTCCAAGCCTCATGTGCCATAGTGTGGTAGTGTCCTCCTCTGTGGTGATAGAAGCAGCCAGACCCCCTGTAACTGTCTTGCCCTTCAAGTAGTATAGGTTGTTTTCCCTGACACCTCGCATCACCACCATAGAACCCTTCATGACCTTCAAACTAGCATCTTCTAAGATCACTCTATAACCGGATGCCTCCAAAGTCCCAAGAGAAATGAGGTTCTTCGTCAACTGCGGCACGAACCTCACATCTTTCAATTCCCTAGTCACCCCGTCATGCATTCTGATTCTGACTGAGCCAATCCCACTAATAGGACAAACGTGATCGTTCCCCATGAGCACCACGTCTCCTCTCTTCAACTCCTCAAAGTTGGTAAACCAATCCCTCTTAGGGCAAATGTGAAATGTAGCTCCCGAATCAAGCATCCACTCCGTAGAGTCGGCATAACAAACTGACGGCAGTGCGGGACAAGAATAACCGGAAGAATCCGAATCTGAAATGTCGCCAACAACCTTGGCAACATTCACCTCTGAAGCTTGTACAGCTTTCCCCCTTTGCTTCCCGGCTCTATCCTTCAACTTTGGGCACTCATTCTTCCAATGTCCCTCTTCTTTGCAAAAGGCACATTGATTTCTACCAACACTTTTATGGCCACCCCTATTCTTTGATTTTGAGCGGTTGAACTTTTGGCGGTTTGGACTACGGCCACGAACTGCAAGTGCATCACCCGATGCCTTCTCGGAGGGCTCACAATCATTCTTCCTCAGCTCATAATTCACCAATGCCGAGGTCACCTCCTTGTAGCTAACTGTAGTTCGCCCATTTATCATAGTGAGAACAAAGGTGCTAAACTCATCATCTGGCAATGAACACAACAATAACATCGCCTTGTCTTCATCCTCCACCATGATATCAACATTGGCCATATCCGAAATTAGCTTTGTGAAGTCGTTAACATGCTCTCGAACGGAAACTCCCCTCTTCATCTTGAATTGGTAGAACCTCTTCTTCAAATGAAGCCTATTCTCAATGCTCTTCGTCAAATATTTTTCATTGAGCGTTTCCCACAATCTCTTTGCCGAAGTCTCGTTCATCACATCATAAATGAGATCCGGTGTTAGGCATGACCGAATAACCCCACAAGCCCTACTGTGCATTTTCTTCCAAACCCTATCATCAATCTCCTCGGGTTTCTCTTGAAACTCAAGAGTCTCCTCCAAATTTTGTGCATCCAAGGCGTCCA